GATATGTGTAACATGTCCAAGCAGAAATGGTAGCAAAATTATCATTGAAATGCCATTTGTCCTAAATGCATTTAAACTAACAGAACACTTTGGATTACATTTTCATCATGACGCCCTGGGATATATGTAGCAAAATTCAGTGCGGCTTTGAAAATGCATTCCGAGCTGACCACGCCCATCCTCCGTCAAATCATTGCTTCAAGGCGGGGATTGGCGGAAACGTGTTACGTTTGGATCGTTCGAAACATGGTGGCTCGAGATCTGATAAGACCGTTGAATTCACTGGCAGATAAAGTGGAGAGTGAACAGAGAAATATATTAAGCATACTATGAGCATACTCCATGCTAAAATCAAACGTTCGAACGACCGACCGAACGTCTTGAGCGTCTTACACTGCGGGTGACCCACGTGACGTCAGCGTCTTGAAATTAGCTGGTTTTTAAACATTTAAGGAGCCAAGCTGCTGTGTAAAGACTATAAATGGACATTACAATAAAGATATTTTATACCTAAACTAATACTCTGCATCCTGATGTACTTCCCTGAATAAGTCTTTAAAGGTGTTGTAGGCTATGAGTAACTGGGTAACTTGCTCGTTCTGAGTAATAAATTGAAAAAGCTTCCACCTGTATATGACTAAACTAAATAACATGGAGTTTACTTGAGGTTCTGCTATAAATGTGTCTAGCTCGTTTGGCAACTCAAAGTTTCAGATCCCTCCACAGATTTTCTGTAGGATTGTGGTCTGGAGACTGTCTAGGCCACTCCATGACCTTAATGTGCTTCTTCTTGAGCCACTCCTTTGTTGCCTTGGCGGTATGTTTCGGGTCATTGTCATGCTGGAAGACCCATCCATGACCCATCTTCAGTGTTCTGGCTGAGGGAAGGAGGTTCTCGTCCAAGATTGTACAGTACATGGCCCCGTCCATTTGCCCCTCAATGCAGTGAAGTCATCCTGTACCCTTAGCAGAAAAACAGCCCCAAAGCATAATGTTTCCAGCTCCGTGCTGTAACGGTGGTGGCCGGCCTAGCATAGATAAGCTCTATCAAAGGAAATGTTTGGGCGCCAGTCAGGATTAATCCTGACAAAATTTAAATTAACCCAGAATAGCAAAAAACAAAAACCACCTGTTACAATATGGATAATTAAAAAAACAGTCAAAGGAAAACTCTTTTCACAAGGGAAGATTTATTCCACAATGACCATGAGAGGAAAAAACTTGTTTGAAGATAGGCAAAAAAAAGCACTTCGGTTCAATTTCAAGTTTGAAATCCGTGCAAGATTGCGTCACGCTAATTCAAGTTCCCAACACGGGCAGATTCGCATCCACAATCATAAATTGTCCATAGAAAAAAGAAACGTCAAACATTTTGTTCCTTTCATA